GGAGAGATTGGGGCAGTCAGGACTGGAGCAGTCAGGACTGGAGCAGTTGGCAGTGGTCGACCTGGAGTTCGCGCGGCTGGTCTACTAGCGGAAGGTGGTGAACGCAATCGTCATCACAACGGAGCCCTTCTGAGAGAGTAGCAATTTGCACGCACGACGGATGTGTAATGTCCATTTTCAACGTGCAATGGATGTGCGTATGGAATCAAAGCGGGTTGCAAAACCTGCCGACATTTTCGTTGTTGCTCAATCTCAAATGAGGGGGGTGTGGATTCATGTTCCAACCCTGTGCATGAGTGTACTTGTACATGCTCCGCCGCTACAGACTTCAAGATCACTGACAGCAGTGTGAAAAGGTAGTCAACGGTTTGCTGCTTGCCTAGGTATTCCCTTAGGTGGCCTAGGCTTGATAACACAGAACCCCCCCCCCCCTTTGTCTTGTTTGAGAGGGGTCCTCCTTGTGTTGGGACACTCTAGTATGGGTATTGATTTGGCCGGTGGTTTCGGTTCTGGGTGTTTGCTGGTGTATCTTGGTGTATTGGCGATTACCGTTGCAATAGAGTTGTTTGTGGGTCATGTTTTTGGGGATGGTGACATGGCGGCGTTGCGTACCTGGTGTTTTCGTTGAAGCGGAACGTGCGATGGGGCTAGGTGCGCTTTGGAGCGAATTCCTTTGACCCTGAACCGAACGTAGCCATCCTCCCCTTTGCGTCAGAGCAAGTCATGATTGGCAATCGCACATTCTCCACTTTTCGTGCAAACTGGCAATAATTCACACGTCACTGATTTGCCATGTTGTGTCACGGGCCTTTTTCTCTGCTTTGTTGCAGGTAGACTGCAGAGCGGTCAGCCTTCGTTGAGTCCACGTAGCACGTGGAGACTACTGCACTGGGTCAAATGCTGAAAGAGTCGGATAGGTCATACACCAAAGTCAAAGGAGACGCCAAGCAAGATGGCCATGTCTATGTCGGATTGGTAGCCTCAAGTCTTTAATGACCCAGGTAATAGTCAATCCACGGATTCAAATTGGTCCGTTTTTTGCCCAAGCACTCCAAATCGCCATGACAGTGTGGCCAAACTGGTCGTTTGGCCACACCAACACAACCACCGCGTGCAGCAGCTTCCGACACTCTTGTGCACGCAGCTCACGGTTGGTTTGCGTTCGATTCATTTGACAGGATGCAAGCTTCTGCCCAATTCAACTGAGCTTCTCCGTCGTTTCGTTTCTAGCACGGTTTCGCTGCTTGGTTGCTTCAAACTGGTTCCGGTTCATCATTGTGTTCGTTTCGTGTCGGTTTTCAGTTCGGTTCAGCAGTTCTTGCCCAATCCGGACTGCTTCAATCCTCACTTGTGGAGCCTCCAAGCTTCAACGCTAGCTGTTTGCAACCCTGCACCGTGGCCGTTCCAACGCCTGTACCTTCCTGCTTCAACATTGCTCCAACCGTGTAGCCTCCAACCCCTGATGTTGACCAGTCACTGGCTGGATCAGGCTTAATCTGGCTGTGTCTTGCTTGCCGAATCTGGCTGTGTCTTGCTTGCTGAATCCGGCTGAATGTGGCTGGCTGCACTTGGCTTGGATCTTGCTGAAGCTGGCTGAATTTGGCCGGGATATTTAGCGGAGTCTGGCTGGCTGCATTTGGCTAAGTCTGCCTGAATCTGGCTGATTTGGGCGGAATCTGAATGAATCTGGCTGATGGCCGGCATCTGGATGACAGTGAGGTTTCTCAAGCAAAGCCTGTGAATTGAATCGCCCGCCGGGTTCACGTTTCCAGCTTGCCGTAGGGTCCTCCAGCCGTCTAAGGCACAGTGCAGGTGCGAGTGCCCATGGGGGTCTCACCCGGGCAAGTGCGCGGGGCCCGGTCGAAGGGCAAAGGGCCGGACGGGCAAAGCTTCGGTCTTTCCGGGCAGGATTGTTGGGATTGAGGTTTTCCTGTCATGGGATAGTTGCCGCCTATCATTCTGGCAGGGTGCTCTCGTGTTGGCGCTGTTCAACATATCTCCGGACCAATGAAGCCCTGAGATGGCAATAGAGGGAGCAAGGCTCCTCTTGTATGAATGACAGTGAGAGTTTTGTTTACCGTACGGAGACTGCATCCACAATGAGAAGCGGAACTGCTCAGCTTTTGCAGTTGGCGTTACACACTACACTCGCAACAGCTGAGGGATCACTTTCACTTGAGTTGCTTGATGTTTTGGTTACAGCTTCGGCTTGCCACGGACAAGGGCGACGGTGCTGTCAGCAGAACAGATTCCAGCATCTTGAACGCTATCGAGCATATTGACGCCAAGGGTATGCGTGCACTAATTCACTCGACATGTGGACAGCGGACTGTCTGCGGACCATCCTTTTCCACAGGCTGCGATATGTGGACGGGAGAAGCTTGAAGTATCCTCATCTTGTGTGCATGATAGAGAAGCCCTGAACTTGCCTTGGCTTGAGGTGCTTAGGATTGCGCCACCAAAGCTTTCACTTGCAGACAATGTCTGTTGCATGGGCCATTCCCTGCCTTTTGCAGCATGCTTTTGCGGTTTTTACTACGGATTTGCCACTTCTCGAATGGGAAGCAGGTGGTTGTCAATGTCATGCTGGGCAGTTGAACAGCCAGACACATGTTATTCAGCTCATTCAGGGGAAATCAGGGGTGTTGTGCTTATCGACAGACATGGTTCTTGTTTTGGTCCACCTTGAGCGCTTGGCAAGAGTCAAGCTTCGCCAGCTCTTGGACGATTTGGGACTGAGGCTGCAGCTTCAGGTGTGAGCCGCCCCAGGGTTGCCTTCGAAGGATGGAAAGTTGCAATGAGGGATGTGAACAGCAGCTGGTGGTCAGTGATCATGGCTTACTGCTTGCTGAGATCAAAACACACAAAAGCGGAAACAGCGCCTTCTCAACAGCATGCAAACATGTAGAAATCATTCGACAGTGAGACATAGCAAGCCAAGTGGAAAGCGCGGCGCCTTGCTGGTGGCGCTGGCTGGTGAGTGGCCACACCAAAGTCTCTTGGGAAAGTAAAGGGCTCTGTAGTTTGTACACTATTAGGAGTGGCCGGCTTTACTTCTCCCAAATAGGACAAACTCACACTTCCCGGAAAGACGGCAAGCTTGTCATTCACTCAGGCATTTTCATTTGAGGAGCGCGAGTGAACCACAACCTTATGCAGGCTTGTTTTCCACCGTGGCATCGCAGCTGGCGGAGACGTAGGCGAATTGGGCGCTGCGCTGTGGAGTAGCCCAAGGCCAGAAACGAGCCGGGAGCCTTGGTACCTCTACGTTCCCAATAGATGAGCCCGACGTCAATCAATCTGTTTTAGTGTTGTTCATGCCAACAACATGAAGCCACAACCAGCAGTGTCGCAGTCAAGGGGTCTGCCTGCATGGCCATTCCAGCGGCATGAGCTGATGATGCTGGCATACCATTGGTCGTCGTTTGTTCTTCAAGTTGGACACAGTTGTAAAATGCCTAAGAGCACGCACAACTAATATGCCTGCCCTCTCGCTGGTGGATTGCGAGGCTTCCTGCAAAGGCAGGATTGCGTTCGCACGCTTTCTTTTTCCTTACAAAGCCCAATGAATACTGATTGCCACCATTAATGTCACCTTAGTCTGTCAGAGGATTCGCTGATTCTGGTTTTTGGCTGGTTAGCCAGTGGCAATTGGGAAAACTGGGAAGGCTGCAAGGCCGTGAGCAGCTGCTGGTGGCGTGCACGTCTGCAGTGCATTCGGTTATTTGCAGTGACAGTTGCAAGTAGATACCGGAGGATAGTCGGCAAGTATGGGCAGTATGGGCATATCAAGCAGCATGGGTAGGTTTGTTTCCTTTCAAGTTGGGAGATTCTGATTGCAAAACTCCTCAGCACCACAATGGATGCTGCACTTTCTACCGAGCAAGTAGAATGGCGATCCAAATGAATAAGCTCAATGCCTCGGGCGTCTCAGACAGCGGACTAGTATCGAGCACCAGATGCCCAAGAGCTTCGGCCACGTCCTTCCACTCAAAATTCGTGGCTGATGTAAGCAGAGCCGTCGAGCCGTGGTGAATCCGATCTGCGAGCCTCACAAGTTGGAGGCCAGTGAGACGGCCGTGTGCGCGCCGCATCAGCTGCTGTGTGTTTCACCGGCGCCGCGGCGTGGATTGAGAGGATGAAGAAGGGGCTCTCGCACAGGCAGCCCCGAGAACATTCATAGATGGAGGCTTGGGCTTTGCATCCTGGGTGTTTCTGGCTTAGCCCGGATTCTGCTTCCCTCGCAGCTTTCAATTCGGGAGGTCAGATTGCAAATAGAAGTCTGTGGTACATTTTTTCGCCGGACAACGGCGGCTTGTTTGCTCGCCAACCAGCTAATCAACCAATCAACCAATCAACCAATCAACCAATCAACCAAGCAACCCACCAATCCAACCAATTGTGCGACCGCCGTTCACACACGCCCAACACCCGTCAATCCCATATCTGAAGCCCGTCCTGGAAAATAATCTAAAATGCGGAATCGCAACAGACCAGTTTTTTTTAGACAGTCGGCCACTATCCCAACCCTAGCTAATTAGCAATGGTTTTGCAGCTAAGCAAGCAGTGGGCTCGCGGGTTGGCTTTGGCTTGTGGGTTGGAGGGAATTTGGCTTTGTGTGGTGATAGATCAACGCGCGGTCGGCGGGCTGATTTCTGGGTTGCTTGGATGCTGATTGTTGGGTTGTTGGCAGAATTATTTCTTTGTCATATTCGAATTCCAAGTCACTGCTTGAACACAGACAAGGGCTTCCACAGGAACTCGGAACTGTTCCATCACCCTTGGTAGTTGCAGGATACAAGCAAGTATTGGCTTTTTGTCTTGCTGCGATTTGCACTGGTCCGCTGGTCCTTTGGTGGCCGTTTCCCAGATTCTCCCCCTTTCACACTGTCGTTGAATGATCAATTTGTGCAAAGCTGTATCACCCCGAACACAGCGAATAGGACGCACACACGTGCAGACAGCAGATTTCCCCCGCCTCCCCACCGCCGCTGGCGCAGGACTCCGCCCTCACCGCCAAACTGATGCGGGGGGCCCTGATAGCTAGAACAGCAAGGGCTTAGCTTCGGGGCTGGAGTCCTCATTGCTGGCGAGGATCGTGGATTGTCTGGCATGCCATATGTTTCTGGCTTTTTGTTATGGCGATGTGCTTGCATCACGTTTGGAAACACATGGACTGGTTGCAAGTTGAAGGTGGGGGCTTATTTGTTTTGTTTAGCTGACCACATCATGGAACATGCTTCTTTTCACGTAGCTCTGGCACAAACCTTTTGCTTTTTGCGGTTGGCTGGTTGTCCTTGCAGCATGCTGATAAAGCCAGCCCCAAACCAGGCAAAATCCAGCCCTCAACCGCCCCAAATGCCACTCTAATTCCGGCGTTGCTGTAATCGAACCTTTCCAGCCTCCGAGACCCACCCTCACCTGACCTCCACGGCCAGAACCTGCCTTTAAAGTGAAGAGTGAAGCGACGCTTTTTGAGGCTTCCCTGACATTTTGGGACGACTGAGTGCAGCCCAAAGGAAACCACCCGCAAAGCGCGGGTTCCGAGTGCGCCAGGCTCTTGCAGATGGGCTCTGAGGAGAAGGTCTCGGAGTTCCTGTCGAAGGCAAAGGGAAAGTCTGTAGCCATGGCCCAAAGTTCCAAAAGCGGTGTCTTTGTGCTTTCCATTGCCCGCATGTATGAGATGTAATATCATATATATATATATATATATATATACATATGTATATACATATATACATACACGTGATATCCTTGTATCTGTCAAAGGGAAGCGAAAGGACCCCTGCCAGTTGGAGTTTGGAGACATTCCGAGACACCTTGGCTGCTCGCTTGTGTTTCGCTTACCCAGGGACAAGTGACATGTGGGGTTGCATGACAACTATTTTTGTGAAGCCACGTAGTGGTGTCTCTTGCACATGTTGCATGCGAAGGGAGCCCATGATTTTGCTTCCAGACCCAACGGCATGCTTCCCAGAGGCGCCAGACCCGCCAGAGAAGTTGGCCATCGAGAACTCAATGCAGCGGGGAAGCCCAGAGTCAGAGAGACCCAGAGAGCTTGCAGTCAGACCAGAGTGTTTGGGAGCTTCTTCAATCGGCAGGGCCCCAACATGTTTTGTGGGCTCCTGTGCATTGATCATGATGTTGTCTAGCAATGGAAGGCACATTTTGAGGCCATTCAAAATAACTACAGAACCCCTGCCACATTTGATGTTTGCCCTCCAAGCGCAACATGCCAGAGAGATGCTTGCTTTCAAGGACGTGTCATAGTATGTCATAAACTGCACGTGTAAATTTACACGTGTAAATTTGCCATAGCTTCAGGATGTTGCAAAGATATTGTGACTGTATCCAAATGCTTGCCTGACACAGCGATCGCATTGCCAAACTGGTGTTTGCTTGCTCAGAGACCGTTTCCGCAAAATTAAGACTACAATATCGATAGTTCGTGTAATGCACATCAGTCTGAGCCGCAACATGAGTTCTACGCTTCAACTTTTGCATGCGTACCCCATCACCTTCCTGCATCGCCAACATGTGCTAAAGAACATGGACTCGAAAGAACAACTGGTAGCATGACCGAGGGTACACGAAATGGCTGGCCCCTTCAGTAATCTTTGTGTCACAGCTGAAACTTGTCAAAGGCCAAAGGCATCCGTAGACTTGCAGATCCTCGGTTTAGTAGAACATGTTTTCTTGGGAAGAACCCTTGCCTGGGAACTCTCCGGGAATCTTGCCCTCAATTGTGCCTACTAGCTTCTCCTTCAAGCTCAACGCTCTTTTGGGCTCATTCCTTGCTGGAGCAGATATTTCCTGCATGCATTCGCCAGAGCCCTGGCACGCACTAGCATCCACTCACATGGCACCGCATAGCGGTTTACTCCAGCAGGGAAATGCCAGCCTGCGGAGTGCTTCAATCAGGTGGCATAAAAACTATTGTGAAGTAGAACGACAAATACCTTGTCTTATTTCCTGGAGGAGCCCGTGTCGTTTGGCAAGTACTGGGCTACAGCAACGGACTAAACTAAGTACTTTCCCACGCGAGGACTTATGGTACAAAGTTTAGTATGGGAAAGTTTCCTAACTGTTGCCTAAAGTACTTAGTACAGTGTACCTAAACTTTCCCACCTAAGGACTAAAGCAACTTTACCTCTCGTTGCTTCCGGTTGCTGGTTGCAAGCTGCAGGTTGCTGGTGGAGCTGGGTGCTCTGACCAAGGCCGAGACCTGTTTCGTGTTGTGATCGGAGCCTTTCTTTTTGATGGCTGGTCTAGGGCAATTGAATGAACGTATGTGGGTGCGTCTTAAAATAGGGGACCTCCCAAATGGTGGTATTCCTTTTGTTTGCCCTACATAAAACCACCCCAAAGAAGGGACCCCCCAAAAAGCGCCGGACCCATGCGTTGGTTGCTTGTGAAGGCACTTTTGCAGCCATTCGGCTTTCCGAACGATCTGGTGGTTATGGTTGAGGGGAATGAGTCAATGTCCAAGCAACATGCGAGCTCTGTGTGTGCTTGCGACGTTCTCATGGTAAATCGAGGCTTGAAAGAGCCCCATTTCAAATGACAGCACACACACACACACACCCTTCTATGAAGAACCGCATGTTTGCCACCAACTTGAAGGCTCGTTGCGCCGCTTGGCAAGGTGGAAGCCCTGTGGCCATGCAGAATTTTGGGGCAGAATACGATTCCCGGCGCCACAATGTCCTGTTTTTTGGGTGGCCAGAACATCTCTGCTGGCACTTTCCCTGGGACACTGGCTTTTCACACCTGCACCAAGCTTAGCATTGGCCAGCGGAAGTGGTGAACAGGTTTGTTTGTAAAGCACCTGCTGAAAGTGGCGCGAGCATTTCTCAATGATGCCAGTGTTAAATGAGGATGTGCACAGGATATTGCCTTATTTCGCCGCCGAGGACCTCTAAACTCTACACCAACATGTCTCAATGATGCTCACGGCAAATCACGAAAGCTAGCTATGCTAGCAGGAGTTCTCTAAGCTTTAGCTTCTTCTTTTTAAGGGGCTGAGCTTCCCACGATGCCTGATTAAATTAGGGATTGCGGGGGGGGGGGGGGAGGGGGCCCTAAAAAGCCTGAGTTGCAAGACCAAGTCCCTACCTAAGGCACCTCCCCCCCTCCCGCCCCCCACCTGGGGCCCCCGGCACGCGCGTATTCCCATAATCTTCGTCCACATGTTTGCAGCTGGGGAACCTGTCTTTCTCAACATTTCTAGACGTTCATTTAGGATTGCCAGTCCTAATATCCTAGCAACTCCTGAGTCGTACATGTCGTCGTTGGGCTGACTAGGCTAGGTTTCGTTCCCCCGCCTCTCAAGTTAGTTTGCCTATTTGCTAAACGTTTGAACATGTCCCCAACTCTATTGCTGGGCAATGTTTATATTTGCTGTTGATGGTAACAATCAAGAGCGAATCTGATTGGGGACGAATGCAT